TTGGCCAAGCAGAATGCAGACACCATGAACAAGGTGAGTCTGCATTTGGTCAGGTAACACATCAACAATCTCTGTCCTGAGACAGGACTGGGATCCCAGACTTCAGCGTGTGCTGTGGGATTTCAGCACTCTAAGGCTGTAAAAATGTGAGTTCCATTTTTGGTAATCAGAATCTTGTTTTCATCAACAGCTGCTTTAATAATATCTTCCTAGAGAATTCCTAAGTTCATTTGTCACAATTCTCTGTTGTGAATGTCTCCAAATACTCTGCTGTGTTTCTCCTGCAGCGCTTGTACACTGAGGCCTGGGATAAAGACAAGACACAAATCCACATCATGCCTGACACGCCTGAAATCACACTGGCAAGAGAGAACAAGAAGAACTACAGTCTGGTGAGTGTGGGAGGTCTCAAAATGTAGCTGCTCTGTCATGGCTGGATCAGGAATGTTCTGGGAAACCTTCTAGAGATGGCACTATCCGTTTCTTTAAGTAACTCCCATATTCATGCAAGAAATTGTGACTTTAAAAACATTGTGTATTTCTAGTAGTGCATACATAGAACCGTGAGCACTGGTGGAAAGAAATTCCATAAATTCCACACAAGTTGTGTTTTTCCACTGAATTTTTCAGGAGTCATTCCTGCCAGTGTGCATAATGTTGGGAAGGCAAAAATTAATACCAGAAAGGTAATTACCAGCATAATTCCGAAAAGGTGTGATGCCAGTGTTCAACATTATTTTAGGCAAACAAGTTCACATCAGTAAGCCATATCAGTGGTTTTAAAAAGTCAGTTTTATTCCATTTGTATAGAAGAAAAGTTTAGCTCTAAATTGTAGTCAATATTACATTATTTAAAGCAGTAAAATAAAAATTAAGTAAAAAATGTATTTAGCAAGGGTCTTACTTTGACATGAATTTGTATCAGCTACTGATCTGAGGTTCATAAAACTGGGTATAATAAATCTAAACACAATTATTAGATCTACTTTTAAGCAGTTTGTTTTGCTTAGAATATAGCATATGGAACTTACATGAGTCCCACTGTTTAATTCTTCATCTAGAAACAATACAGACAGGCCATGGAAGATGCAAAGAAGAAAGGCTATGATTTGAGAGCTGATGCCATCCCCATCCAAGCAGCCAAAGCATCCAGGCAAATTGCCAGTGATGTAAGAATCTAAATTTTTGTTCCTTTCTATGTTGACATCTCTCCTCTGCAACCTGAAAATTATCAGCTGGATCCTGTAAAAGGCACTGCAGTTAAACTGTGACTTTAAATAGTAGATTTTTGCATGTAAATTATCATGTATGTTAAAAAAGTTAATTTGATAATTATAAGAACAATATAATGCTGCTATCATGATAATTGTATAGCTCATAGCCCTGTATGTGTAAATAAGCATTTACAGTATGTGTACCATTATATGTAATAAGGATTAAATGCATTTATTAAGATCAGGATTATTTCTCACTAATATTAGTAAAGCACATTTCTTCAAAAAGGAAAATGATAAAAAATTTCTGTTTAGAGCTCTAACTCAAATAGCAAAAAAATTTAGTCCTGGAATATTATTAGCATGAGATGTGATTTGACTTTTTGGTATTTTTTTTTAATGGTAGGTTATAGATAAGTTTGGAAAGGTTATTGCTAGAAATATTTAATATGAGTAACTGATATTTATAGGTGATACAGAAATGTAATATCTTGGTTTGTGTTTCAGTACAAGTACAAGGAAGGGTATCGCAAACAGCTGGGCCACCACATTGGGGCCAGGAACATCGAGGATGACCCCAAGATGATGTGGTCGATGCA